TGCCCAGCCTCCTTAGAGCAGGCAGTACCCAACCGGGTCCCTGCAGAGTGAGGGCTGATCCCTGCCTCCCTGGAACAGCCTGAGGCGGCAAGCTTGTTTGCTGACACTAAGTTTGTTATATTTTCTGTATTAAATAAAGGTACATTTTTTTCCAATGGAGGAAAGCTCTGTTTCCTCGTTATCTCTCATCTGGCCTTTCCATTGTCAGTGTGTCTCTGCCTGGAGTGTCAATGCTCAACCCTTCACTCTTCATCCAGAGAGGAAGGAGGTGGGAGGGGCAGAAGCAGATGTTTTCCTTGTACCTGGAGAATCTCTGTTTCCTTTGTAAAGGGCCATTCAAGAACCTGCTCCTCATTCCACCTAGAAAATTAGTTTTTCATGTTATTCTAGCTTTTGAATCGTTACCGGACCTACTCCCTGAGGGACTTGATTTGAGTGACATGAGTTAGTTATTCTATTTCCATAATAAAGCTGCCTCCGAAATAACTGTTTCACATCTCTTAGTGACAGTTCAGAAAAGGGGCAATTTTTCAACCTGAAGAAGTTGAAATGTGACTTCTCTATTGTACAAATCAAATTGCTGGAAAACTACACAAAATGGGAGAAAGCTGTTCATTAGGTTCAAACTCGAGCAAACACAAGCCTCTTTTGTGCTCTCTTAGAAAAGTGACAAGTGCAGTCATGTCTTCTGTTTGGCGCAAATAAACTCTTATAAAAATTCAAAACAAAAGTGACAAGTTCACTAATGTCAGTGCCAAGCTCATCGGTGGAGTGTAGGCTGCCAGCGTCCAACAAGGAGCTATCTGAGTGTGAGACTGACAGTTCTGCTCCCCAACAGCGTGGCACCACGGACCGTGGGGCAGTAGCCATGCAGACCTCAGACCAGGAGGGCAGTGACTGCCGGGTCACTGGCGCCCACGGACACAGGCTTTTAGATGGGAAGAGCAGGGCCATCCCGGCAGAAATTTACAGTACAGGGCTGTTTTGAATGTATGAAATTAGCCACCTGGCTTTCATGGGTCCTAAGTTATTTAAAATAAATAAGTTTCTTTGTTTTTGTAAGGTAAGGACATACAGATTCTGATTCAATGAAGAGTCACTTTAACTTATAAACAACGCTCACTGCTTCCAGGACTATTCTAAAAGCCAAGAGATGAAAATTAGATAGAGGTGGAGTTAGTTAGGCATTAGCAAGCTTCGCAGTGATGGACTGTGCTTGAAGTCACCGAGCTTGCAGAACGTGGCATGAGACATGACAACGTGGCATGGGATGTGAAGGGCCACCAGCAGCACGTCGGCCCCATGTGCACTCCTTTAGGACTTTGGGCATGTTCTTTTATCTTCTGTGTTCGTGCATTCGTCCTCTGAGGCCGTATTTGAGTCATATACTGCTAAATTTGATGAATAGGTGGGTTGGGTTATTTGAGTCAAATTTCAGGAGTAAAAAACATTGAAGACTGACTTTCTTCACATGGTTTATCAACTGGGTATGAAAACAGCTCTAAAAAGAGGTTTTCAAAATGTCTAGAGCTTTGGAAAATAAGTAAATTAACATGGAACCTCCCAAGGAGGTTACTTTGAAGAACTACATTTACTTGGCTGCATAAATTATGGATATCTGTTACAAAGGGCAGTTCTGATGTAGCTAAGCAAATTTTGCTTCAAAATCCTGTAGGATACAACCTTTGAAAGGTGTTTGAGTAATCAGGAAATAATTAAGACAGTCAGAGCCCTGCTTTATGCCAGGGAATACTTGAAGGTGGAATTCATATTAACCAGAAGTTTCCGATGACATGCCTCTTTATTAAAAGAAACAGAAGTAAACAGTACATTAATTAAATTTTTCAATACACCAAAAAAGGAGGCTTTAAAATGCCAATAAGGAAAGAGAAATAATATAATGGGTTTTAATAAAAATATCAAGCAAGTAAAATGAGGAATAACAAATGTAGGCTTTGAAGCTTATACTTTTACACACCCAGAAAGAATGCCACAATTTAATATTTTATTGTATAAGTGACTATCTCGATGTTAGGATCTGTACTATTGACTAGCAAATATCAATCTGAGGGCAGAATTCCCTGAATATGAAGGAACGATTTACACATTTCCAAAGTAAAAAAATATATATCCCTAATAGTCTCAAAGCTTCAGACCGTGGCACTGGACGTGAAGGGCGCAGTCTAGGGGATAAAAGCTAAAACATTATCTATCTAAATGTCAGATCATAAAAATGTCATACACACCAGACCTCTTAATTTTTTTAAACTGGAAATGGCTAGCTTTAGTTTCTATTTTAATAATTTTAAGGTATCCTCTGCCTTCTGACTCCATCCACCTTTATAATGATATCTCCCATTAACCCTGTTGCCATCATCTCTGCTCAGCCACCAGTATTCACCAGACAAACCCCAAGCTTTTTAACACGAAGCATTTCCTCGGTTTCCACTTACACCCATTCACTTCCCGCTCCTCTCACCCCATTCTGTGCTTATCTAAATCTGACCTTCAAAACCCAGCCAAAATGCCACTTTCTTCATGAAAAATGTCTCCTTTTTCCTAGCCAGAAGTAATCATTTTCCGCTTTATGCTCTCGTGCCTTACCAGTTTCCATCATAAATTAGAGCTCTCTGAGCAACTGTCTCATGTCCTGTGCTAAACTGTTGCTTTCTCAAAGTCTATATTTACTTAATTTACATTTTCTTCAGCCTAGTACATTGTCAGCAACTACCATATTGTTAATGTGCTTTTGTTAATGAATAAGTGACCTCTTTTGAAAAAGAGATATGAAAGGAAAATGTTTAATTTTTCTTAAAGAAATAGGGATTCAGAGAAAAAGATATCATTTTGCTCATCTTCTCAGTGTTACCTGAATCAGATCATTGTTGAATAGGATAGATATTTTCATGTATGGAAAATATTTTAAAACTAAACTATAATTTTTAAACACAGCAACAGCTTTGTTACCTTTCTGGGTGGCTGTCGTATGCCTTTGGTAATGTTAATGCCGTGTGGAGTCCTCCCCTTGTGCATGAGGCCGAACACACTGCCACCCTGGACGGACAGCTCGGGAAGACAGCACACTCATTTGTGCCACCGAACCCGGGGGGGGGGGGGGGGGCGTTGTTTGATCTTGATGAGCCTTAGTTTCTCAACTTTAAGAAAGGGATAACCACTTGCAGCCTTGCCTCTCTCATTAGTTTGTGAGAAATAATAAGATAATGTAAGGGACAGCAGTTTGTAAATTGTAAAATTCTTTATAAATGTAGGAATATGTGAAGGAGATCAATATAGGGGACATTAAAATAGTAATATGAAAAAAAAGAGAGAATGACTAAGTCACTCAAGCAGGTCAGATCCTTTAGGTCAAATTTATATGAAATATTTTTGAAATGATTGAAGGAAAGATTTTGCTATGCAATAATTCAAGTTTCCATCACAAGAAACAATAATTCCATAAGGGCAAATGTTAAGATTACTGAATAATTTCTCTTTGTGTGGTCTATAAAATTGCAATTTCAATCTAAGGGGTCCTTATAGATGAGAGAGTTCTAGGCCTGAAATAATCTTCAGTCTAATTTATTTACTATTAACCGTGTAGGAAGGATGATTTTATTCCCTTCTCTCCTATTATTGAGGTCAGTTTAGTAAACATCTAAGATCTTTTCCATCATACTTCCTGGCATTCTGAAGTTTTAATAAAGTTGCTGGAAAGGAATACAGATTGTGAAACCCAAGAATAAACAGGGACCTGAGCATGCGCTTACTCTAACACCACCCAGACCTGGAATTCATCTGTAGAATCCCTGCTGTTTCTAGTCTTGACCTGGATGGATCCAATGCAGAAAAAGGGGTGGAAGTCAACTGCTGATCCCTAAATAAATTAAGTAGAAATGCGATCTCCAGTTGTTTCTGGTGTGTGTCAAGGCTTTGGTTGGCCTGGTATGCAGAACAGACACACTGCCACGTTGCGGTTCCCCTGGCCACGCCTGCCCTCTCGGCCACCCAGGCCCATGGCACACGGTTCCCAATGAGCAAGGGCAATGAGCAAATACATTTTCAGTTTTAATCCCTTTTCTCTCCTAATGAGAGTTTATCAGTATATAAATGGACACTTTCTAAGAGCACCAGCTCAAGTAAGATTAAACCTCTGATGGATGTTGCTATTGCCCAAGAAGTTCCAGTTTCTTTCCCAGAGGAGCCACTGAACTCGGCCCATCCTGCACAGCAAATGGACCCCGAAGAGTTAGTCATTCTGGCCCGTCATATAGATTCTGTATGGACCTTGAGGATTATAAGCAATTCGTAGCTGCGTGGTCAAAACGCCAAGATGTCTGTAAATTATTTGGCTAGTCCTCATAGTGTGCTTATGGTTAATGTCATGATTTAAAATGTATGACTTAGTGTGGCAGTAGTCAATAAGTACAATGGAATCTCTGCATCCTATGTTTTGGATAAATTTCATTTCCATTCAAAGAGCAGCAAAAACTTAACTAATCGTAACCAAAACAAACCATGTTTCTTCCCTCCTCTCTGCCTCACACCCCAAACTTAAGAATTTTAACTTGGTGTAAAAATTGAATTTTTACTTTATATTTATGTCCTAATTAAAACATGAGTAGTTGAATGAAACTCCAGTTGCCTAATGACTTAGTTCATGTTACTATCATATCATGTAACCATATTGGAGAGTAGCTGGTTGTCCTATATATTAATAACTTCCCCAGAGCGAAATTTGCGGCTCGCCAATACTAGATAGAAAGCTACCTGCTTCTAGTGGGAGAATAAAGTCAGTCTTCCTGAGTCATCCTGATTTGAGGCTGACCCGCTGTGGACACCAACGGCTGGATAATGTTTTATCAGACTCAATGGACTAAACTCTGTGCTGGGGTAAAACCAAATATAGAAAGAGAATTCCTATTTTTAATTCCTTCTTGTCAATATAGCTGTGTTTATATGATACACAGGGCTTTAATGCCACATCTCTGTGTCTTTCTTAGAAGACAAAGGGAAGCTAAAAATCAACAGTTCCAGCCAGCCATCAAGCTCTGAAGGGGGCTCATTTCTCCTCAAGTCTGGCACAACGCCCCTGCCACCCGGCGCCGACACCTCTCCCTCCAAGAGCACCAATGGAGCTCCTGCTACTGTCTCGGAATCAGAAGAAGAAAAAGCCAAAAAACTGCTTTACTGTTCACTATGCAAAGTGGCTGTGAACTCCCTGTCTCAGCTGGAGGCACACAACACAGGTTAGTGGCTGCTGATGGGATTCAATAATCCTTATGACAAAACCCTACTTTCCCCATCAGAATACCATTAGGCGTGCAGACATTAGGTTTCTTCAGTGTCTTCTCTACTTCTTTTGATTCAAATGTGTATGATTTTGAGAAAAGTGTGGTTATATTGTCTTTAAGAACAGCAAGGTAAAAGCAGGTTAGAGCTAATATTTCCCAAAACTCATTATAAGGAAGAGACAGGGATGAAAACAAATATCTGTGTATATGTTCATTGCAAAACACTTACAAGAGAAAAAAAAAGGTGGAAACAACCTGAAAGTCCCTCAGTAGGGAAATATTGAATAAATGAGAGTAACCCAATATGATAGACTATATTATTCAGCCATTAAAATGTAATTAGAGGAATATGTATATGATTGGATATGAGAAATTTTCAGAATTAGTATGACCCCAATTTTGAAAAAGATATTTTTATGCTGATTTTTAAAATTTAAGTATAGTTGGTATTCAATATCATATTACTTATATTAGTTTTGGGTATACAGTGTAGAGATTTGACATTTTTATACCTTATGATGTGATCACCTCATTAATTCTAATAATCATCTTTCACCATGAAAACTTCACACATTATTGACTATTTTGTATATACTAAAAAAGAACCTGAAAAGAAATATGCTAAAATGATAACTTTGATTATGTCTGGGTTTTGAAAATATGACTATTTTTATTCTCTATACTTTCTATATTTTTATTCTATACTCTTCTGTTTCCCCATTTTTTTATAATGAAAATGTTTTTGAATTTATAAGAATTAAAATAGTCATTAAAAATAAAAGCATGGCATTGGGAAATTCAACCTGAAAATAACTTCTCAAGAATAAGAAAACAAAGAGCTTCATATAGTTCTTAAATAGCTATTTAATATCTGTCTCTTTCTGTTTTAGGATCTAAACACAAGACCATGGTTGAAGCTCGTAATGGGGCCGGTCCAATTAAGTCCTATCCTAGACCTGGATCAAGGTTAAAGATGCAGAACGGCAGTAAGGGGTCCGGACTACAGAACAAAACATTTCATTGTGAAATCTGTGACGTTCATGTTAATTCAGAAATCCAACTCAAACAGGTAACGTATTCTGAATTAATAGTAACTGTTGTTTGAGGTCACTCCTTGACTATGTATCCCCTAATCTATATAATGGTTCTCACTGTGCTCACAGTTAAATTCACTAACACTAACCTTTATAGGATGCATACAACGTCAAAATAGAGGTGCTCTGTGAAAGACAGAGTCAGGACCAAATATTTGCACACCTATTATTACTCTATGTCAGATTCCAGGCTAGGTGTTAGAGACAGGTGAGTGCAGCAGCCACCCGGAGCTCACAGTCAAGCAGGAATTTCTGGAAGACAAGGGAGATGTTCAGCTGATCTTCCAAGGACCCAACATCTGGTTAGGGGGTCAGACTCAACAGTCATGGTGGTGATACCAGGCAAAGTCAGGTTAGAGCCATAGAGAGGAAAGGGAGAGACATTGCAACTGAGTGGGAAGCCAGTGTTTACCCCCGCTGCCTTGGAACTTGTGCCTAGAACTGGGTCCAGCTACCTCTCATATGAAAGCCTCATAAATCACGGTGGAACCAGCTACTTCGATCGAGGAAATATGTTTTACATGGAATAAAACTCCCATTTAGCTAACGTATCACACTTTTTTCAGCACATTTCTAGCCGAAGGCATAAGGATCGAGTTGCAGGGAAACCACTGAAACCGAAATACAGCCCTTACAACAAACTCCAGCGGAGCCCAAGCCTTTTGGCAGTAAGTTCGCCTTGTCTACTCACCTGTCTTGGGGGGCAGCCTCGCTTGCTTAGGCAGGTTCTGTGGGTACGGGGGCCTGGGGACTAACTGGTCCTGAAAGGTTTGGAACTCAAATAGCCCTCATAGGCAGAAATTTTAGAATGAACTGCTTGGTTCCTGCTGTAGGACACCTTGAAGGAAGCTTGAGCTGATACTTGACCCTTTACTGGGACCTTTTGAAAAGACTACCTTCTTGCCATGGCCGGTTTCTCAGTGGTTAGAGCAGCAGTTCTCAACCTGTGGGTCACAACCCCTTTGGGGGTCAAACAACCCTTTCACAGGGGTCGCCTAAGAAATAACAGTAGCAAAATTACAGTTATGAAGTAGCAACGAAAATAATTTTATGGTTGGAGGTCACCACAACATGAGGGTTGCGGCATTAGGAAGGTTGAGAACCACTGGGTTAGAGCATCAGCCCTTGGACTGAAGGGTCTTGGGTTTGATTCCCAGTTAAGGGCACGTACCTGGGTTGCAGGTTCGATCCCTTGCCCCAGTAGGGAGACAAGCAATCAGTGTGTCTCTTTCACGTTGGTGTTTCTCTCTCTGTCTCCCTCCCTCCCTCCCTTCCACTTTAGCTAAAAGTCAATGGAAAAATATCCTTGAGTGAGGATTAACAAAAGGAAAATAAAAAGAAGACTACCTTCTTCAGCATATAAAGAAAAGTAAAGGCTTAGGAACAAGGGCAAGCAATGACTATTGATCCTGGGAAAAGGGATTGCTTTCAGAAAACAAAAATTCATTCAAATCCTCTCTCTCTCTCTATCTTCCCCTCTCTCTCTATCTCCCTCTCCCTCGCTCTTTCTCTATCTCCTTCCCTCCCTCCCTCTTTCCCTCTGCCTTCCCTTCTCCTCCCCACCCCCCACCCTCTCCAGCAAGTAAAGTAGGTGTGTGTTCTCTCTTTCCACGTCTAGTAGGCATGTTAGTAATCGGCCTGTCTCACCTGCTCTCAGTATGTGCTTTTACCAGTTTCTTTGCAAAAATAACCAAGGACTTCAGCAATAGGTGTCGTATGAATACCCAGGTGACTGGATGCCATGGCCTCCTGGGACCCAGCCTGACATCCGGCTGAGGTGGAAGCAGGAGTGGAGCTGGAGGCCAGGCCGAGGCTACCTCGGCTTCTCTGCAGCCGGCGTCTCTCGCCGAGGCTGCAGACAGAGTACCTGCAGGAAGCAAACCGGCTTCAAACTCTTCCTGATGGCAAAGGAGAGAAATGAGGGACCGTGTCTACTTCCCAGGAGGGTTCCGCCCTGGGACTCCTTTACGGGGAGAAGTTGCTAGCCCACTCACTGATTCCCAGCGAAGGAAACTGGAGTTAGCTGCAGTTTTTCAAGGAATATTCATGAAGTGACCAGAGAGAGAAAGGTGTAAACTGACTTTGTTTTCATGAACTTCATGGGACCCTGATGTCGGGAACCCCAGTTACCTACCCAGTGAGGGTTTTGGAAGAGAAGTGAGGTGAAGGTTCATGAATAGTCTTCAAAAATTAAACAATAAACCTCTAGTAAGGCTGCATTGTGGTTTAAGACAAGCCAGGATTTTGTTGAGCTCCATTGAGCAGGAAACGTAGGGACACATTTTTTCCTAAGTAGCAGTGTGAAAGATTTAAGATCTGCTCAGAGAAGCTTCCTGTGTCCTCGTGCCCAAGTCCAGAGACCACCAAAACAGAGTTGAGCCCTGGCAGTTTGGCTCAGTGGTAGGAGCATCAGCCTGCAGGCCAGAGAGTCGCAGGTTTGATTCCAGTCAAGGGCACGTACCTTGGTTGTGGTTCAGTACGTGGCCCAGGTCAGGGTTGTGTGGGAGGCAACCAATTGATGTGTCCCACTCACGTGGATTCTCTCTCTCTCTCTCTCCCCCCCCTTCCTCCCTCCCTCCCTCCCATTCTGTCTGAAGATAGATGGAAAAATATCCTCGGGTTGAGAATTAAAAAAATAAAATAAATAAAAAACAGAGTTGAAAGGGACACAGACTAAAGGAGAGGCATGCCAGAAGTCTTTGAGACCGGCTTTGTGAAGATAATCATTTCTTGCCCTGGCCGGTTTGGCTCAGCCGTTAGAGCGTTGGCCTGCGGTCCCGAGAGACCTGGGTTCGGTCCTGCGGTCCCGAGAGACCTGGGTTCGGTTCCCACTAAGGGCGCGTACCTCAGTTGCAGTTTGTCCCCGGCCCCGGTTGGGTCCTGCGGGTGGCAGCCACTGGATGTGTCCCTTTCACATCAATGTTTCTCTCTCTCTCTCTCTCTCTCCCTCTTCCTCTCTCCCCCTCCCACTCTATCTGAACAAAAAACAAAAAAATGTCCTAGGGTAAGGATAAAAAAAAAAAGATAATCATTTCTTGACTTCTGAGAGTAAAGATTTTTAAAATTTGACATAATGTTAGTGTTTAACTTACGAAAATATATCTTTGGTGCTTATTTCAAACAATATCCCCACCCCATGCCTGGTTTTCTCGCCCCTTTAGGCAAAACTTGCATTCCAGAAAGATATGATGAAGCCCTTGGCCCCAGCCTTCCTGTCCTCGCCCCTGGCGGCCGCGGCCGCGGTGTCCTCCGCGCTGTCCCTGCCGCCCCGGCCGGCCGCCTCGCTGTTCCAGGCCGCAGCCCTGCCCCCCGCCCTGCTGAGGCCGGGCCACGGGCCCATCCGCGCCACCACCGCCTCCATCCTCTTCGCCCCCTACTGAGCGTGCGAGCCGTCGGTGGAGGCCAGTAAGGAGGAGAGTGGAGGAGGAAAGCCAAAAGGATTCAGCAGTTCAAGCGTTTTGTGTTGCGGTGCCCCGACCCAGCCACAGAATGCGAGCTGGACTCCAAAGAATAACACGTCACTTAGATTCAAGAGTGCTTTTAGGGACCGCCCCTGTCGCCGGGAACCCGAGCAGCACAGGCTCTGTCTCCCCAGCCCCTGCCCGCTGCCCTGCTCCATTCGATTTGTGTCTCTGAGATATTTGGTTTTTTGCAACTGTATTGGTCAGAAAAAAATTATATACCTATATCATTCTCCGACTATTTTTCCATGAGTGTGATCTGGCTTAGAAACAATATGGAATATTTTCCTGACAGACTTGAAGAATAGGGTCTTCCTCATGTGTCTGTAAATAACTCTGGAATCCAACTGGGCACATTCTAAGTGTGGAACAAAAACGGATGCACACAAGTGTTTACTTGTGGATACCATCTTACCAATGGATCACAACGTTTGCTTTCTGGTGTACTGTTGTTGACAGGGACTGTGTACTATTTTAGATCCAAGTACTGTTGTATCCTGTGTAGTACTACATCCGTATCTGTTGTCTGAATTAAACACTTTTAGTTGCTGTGTAAATGTTAGGAAGCAAAGTAGCTTTGAATTTTCTCTTTAAGAGAACAAAAGATAAAGTAATGTATTTTTCTTCATTTCCCATTTATTCGATGGTATTTAAATGAAATAGAAAGCCATATAACATAGCTATAATTACTACCTGTTTGCTCTTTTTGTTTAACTTATTTTGTAGCTTCCTCTCCAGTTTGAGTTGCTAAGCAAATGTATACAAACAGAAAAGAGCTTCCTAAATTGCACATTTTTGCACCTCTTGTGCATTCTGCAAGAAGACAATGAATCCACGTATTTCTATGTAGTTACCTTCTTCGTTTTTAACTTGTTTTCATTTGTAATGATGCTACATAATCTTGTGGCTCCCTAATGCAATAATGTACAGAAGATTAAAAAAATTTATAATTGAACAATTTGTCTTTCTGTTTACTGAATATGTTGCAGGTCATGCTCCCGTGCCCCCTTTCTCGGCCGATATCAACAAGACTGGAATGTTTGTGATATCAGAGGCAAGAGATATCATAATACAACAAAACAGAGTGAACTCTTTTTGAGCATCTGTATCTGCAATCTGTAAATGGTAAAATGTCTGTGTATTTTTTTAAATGTACCTTTTCAATAAAAGTACAAAAAATAAAAATCTGTTTGTATTTTTAAAGTTATTTTCTCTTGCGACACCTTCAATTTGAAATCATCTGATGAGAGATTTTCAGTAGATGCCAAGATTGCTTTTTACATATTTAGCATTTCAGCTGTTATTTGCAGCATATTTATTTGTCATGTTTATTCATTACTGTTTATGGCATCTGCATGAGGCGAGACTTGACTGCTTTTTTGCCTCTGAATCTCTAAGAAATTGGGCTGAAGTTGTGAGTGTAACCCAAAATCACAGTAGCAGCCTGCCAAAAATTTGGGACTGGTTTTTTTTTTTTTTCTTATCCTCTCCTGAGGACATATTTTTTGCATTTATCTTCAGATAGAATGGGAGGGAGAGAGGGAGGAAGAGAGAGAGAGAAACATCGATGTGAGAGAGAGACATCGACTGGTTGCCACCCACACGACCCAAACTGGGTGGGGGACAAACTGCAACCAAAGTACGTGCCCTTAGCAGGAACCAAACCTGGGACTCTCTGGTCTGTAGGATGATGCTCTAACCGCTGAGCCAAACCGGCCAGGGTGAGACTGATTTTTTAATACTTACTGCGAGTCTTCTAAATCCCTAGCCCATCTTTTATTCATGTCCATGGCAATTACAATCTCTTTTAAGAGAATTTTATTTCACTCCTCCTCCTTTACCTTCTCTAATCAGCCCACCCCTCTTTTCTTCCACCTCATTTCTGTTCTTGAGTGTAAAAATTAATACATCACTGTTTGCTCTGATTACCGGCTGCTGCTCAAAGAACTACTCCAAAATTTAGTGGCTTAAAATAACAACCATTTTATTCTATTACAGTTTCAGGAGTCAGGAATCCCAGCAGGGCTAGGCTGGGCTGTTCTGTCCCCTGCGGCATCAATAAGAGGTCCCTTGGTGGTATTCAGCTGGTGGGTGGGCTGGTCTAGAGGCCCAAGATGGCTTCACTTATATGTCTGCCTGGATGAAGATGGCCAGAAGGCTGAACTCTACTGAGCTAGCCTACAAAAGGGCCTACATGTGGCCTCCCCAGCCACGTGGTCTCAGATAATTACTAGTAACTCTGGACTCTCAAAGCACTTCAAGAGGCCTAGGTAGAAGCCAAAAGTCTTATAAAATTGTCTCAAAACTCCCAGCATGTCTCTTATGGTGCATTCTATTGATCAAGCAAGTCATTAAGGTCAATCCAGAGGAAAGGGAAAGGGAATTATTCACTTTTCAATGTGAAGTAGGGCAGAGAATGTGTAACCATCTTTAATCTGTCACTCCATTATAGAATTTGAGGTGAGGACTAACAAAGCTATTATAGATCCCTTTCCCTTATCATAAGCCCAAACCATGGCAGTTTTTTGTTTTGTTTTGTTTTTTGTTTTAATGAGAAGAATTGGAATAGGAATAGGACCTAAATTCCATTTTTCTAAAAATTAAAACCAATGGATGGCAGTAGACTTCCTCTATCAAAGAGTTTATCCAACTATTTGAAAATTGTTGACCTTAATATTCCAGACTTGTAATCAGGTTACTTTTAGAGTCTATTAGGATTCCAGTTTGGCATTCATAATTGGGTTGATTTTTTTTTTTAACATGACTAATTTGAACTCTGACCAATACTAGTTACACTAAACTTTGGTTGGACCTTCAGACATGGCTTATGGACATCACACTAAGGAGTTGTGTTTAACACTTTGGAGATGTCGTAGGGGTTTTTTGTCGTTTATTTTATGGACTCCAACGGCAATTATATTTCATTTCTCTTGTATCATCTGTTCCATTAAAGATTACAGCAATCCTCAAAAAAATTTTAAATGGGCTCAGGAATTTACTGATTAGATTCATAGAATTTAAGATTTTTAAAAATCACCTCAAAGAAGTATAAAAGAATAGCAATTAATTAAAATGAATATCTCAAAAAATAAGCCAGGAATAGCTTCAAACAATAATTATAAAACATTATTAAACAGACCTATCTTATCCATCCAGATTCTGTGGTGGCAGAATGGGTCAATCCTGAGGGGATACACATATTTGAACTAATACCCCTTCTTATGCCATTTTTTTTCTTTTATTATTTTTTATCCTTACCCGAGGACATTTTTTCATTTTTTGTTCAGATTGAGCAGGAGGGAGAGAGAGAGAGAAACATCGACGTGAAAGGGACACATCGAGTGGCTGCTACCCGCACGACCCAACCAGGGCTGCTGACAAACTGCAACCGAGTTACGTGCCCTTAGCGGGAACCGAACCCGGGTCTCTGGACCGCAGGCCTACACTCTAACTGCTGAGCCAAACCGGCCAGGGCCATTTTTTTTCTTTTTTTTATTGATTTTTTTTAGAGAGAGAAAGAGAAACATCAATCAGTTGCCTCCCATTCATGCCTCAGCTGGGGATTAAACCTACAACCTAGGTATGTGCCCTAAGAATTGAACCCACAACCTTTGACACCACCACTTTACCCCCTCCACCTATTGGGAAAGTTTAAAAATGTACTACTTACTCTGACATAGTCCAGCTCTGGTCTCTGTAGAACCTGAGAACTACTCTCAGCTAGGATTGCCAGAAAAAAATAATAAAACACTCAATTAAATTTTAATTTCAGATAAATAGTGGATACTTTTAGTATAATCTGATAATTTTAGTATGATATTACACATAGCATTAGTATGTACCATAAAGAAGTATATAATATTTGGGACATACTTATATTAAAAGAATATTCGTTGTCTATTTGAAATTCAAATATAAGTGAATAGACTGTATCCTTTTTTTTTTTTTTTTTTTTTAGGAGACTGAAGTTTATCATATAAACAAGTCGAGTCTGAAATCTGAGAAAATGTTACATAAAACACCATAGATTAAAAATACATAGTATTTGCATTTTAACACAATATAGGGTCCCAGACTTCAAGTCTTTACACAGCTACTTGCCCTGCTACCAAGAGCTCGGTGGAGAACTGCCCGGGGCCTTTCTCCAGCCCACGTGCGGGAGGCCCGCGCGCAGGGCCCGCCTCGGTGGAGGGGGACTCAGCTTGCTCAGTGCTTCCTGCGTGGGGTCTTCTGAACCCTCCCCAGCCTCCTCAGAGTCAAATCCCTGACTCTCTGTGAGTCCAAGTTTTCCTTCCAGGGGTTCTCCCTTCGTGTTCGGCCTCTGCCACGCGCTGCACAGACTCTGCCACCTCGCCAGTTCCTGACTCTCCTCTCGCAGGGGGCAGTGCCACTGTCCTTCAGTTTCCCGGGGAAGTTCCTCCGTTTCCTGCGGCGCTTCGTAGAGAGCCTCCCTCCGTTTCTCTGCCACTTCTTTCCAGTATCGAGAGGATGGGTTTCTGTGACCACAGATCGAAAGCCTCTTGGGTATCCTCCGAGATCTTCGTTTTCACTGTGTCTGGGGCAGTAACTCCAGAGCTGGGAGTCTGAGCTGTCGACCGACGGTCAGTCCAGTGTTTCCTTTTGGAAAAGCCTTGAACCGCTCGTTTCTCCTCCCGCAAGAGACCCAGCTGTGGAAGCTGGATCACCCTCAGGGTTCTCCTTGGGACAGGACTGTTCTTCACGTGCTCTCGGGTCTCTGATTTCTGCTTCGAGCGGGATTCGTTGTGCACCGCGACCCGGCGGAGTCCCAGGAGGGCCGGTTCGGGCGGGCGGGAGCTCGGAGGGGCTGCCGGTGCCGCACCCGCCACCGCCCCGCTCGCTGGGGGACCCGCTCGGGCCTGGCAGCGCCCGTCCCCTCCTCCGCCCTGCGCCGCACCCGCCACCGCCCCGCTCGCTGGGGGACCCGCTCGGGCCTGGCAGCGCCCGTCCCCTCCTCCGCCCAGCGCAGCGGCTAACGAGCTGCTCTAGACTATTCTTTGTATCTTTTTCTAAATCTGGCAACCCTTGACTCAAGAGCTTTTCTCTTCATCTCAAGTACCATTCTTCTTCGGGAGAGAAGCAACCTCTTGGGTATTAAAAACAAAATAATGAGTTTTTGAAGGCACATTGTCAAATACACTCATAAACAGGCAGAGGAAGGGATTTGCAATAAGTGAAAATCAATGATATACTAATATTGGACAGGACAGAACAAGGGAAAATGCAGCTACAGAGGCCTCTAAAAGCTGTACGGATCCCTGCGTAACAATATTAAACTACTGTAAAAGCAAAAAAAAACAAAAACAAAAAAACCTCATTTATATTATACACCAAGCACATCATCCCCTGATTTGTTCCTTCTCTGCCCTAAGATAATTCTCATTTTCTGGAGCAGGAATGGTTATGGTTGTGCAGCATTTTTCTCTGAGAAAGTGCTTTCAGGAAAACTACACTACAGTTAATACAGCTGAGAAAGAGGAAAAAAACAACAAATAAACAAAGGAGAAAGAGCTGACAGAGCATCAGGTGGAAATCTCATTGTGCTAAGTAAGACTCCCTTTAGGAGTCTAGGGAGACTCAGTGGGGAGATTGAGTTTGGGAATGTTTCGAGAAACAAGAACCCACTCCCTGGGGTGCCATGGGAGAGAGGATCATGGTGGGAGGGAGAGAGAGCCAGCGACTCTGTGAGAGTTAAAGATTAAGTCAGCATCAAGATGTACACCCTTGATAAACACAAGCATCTTCAGATAACAGGTGGGGAGATTTCATTTCACCTCTGTAGGTTGCTGTGTGGATTCCGGCCTCTCTCTACAGTGGTCCTTCCATCAGATAGATCCCTGTTTGGTTAATACGATGGCCCTCAAAGAGGTGACATGGCCTCTATGGGAAAATGCCAGTGTCTGGTACCTTGGTGGGCTGAGGAGGAGGAGCTGTGTATCCAAGAGCAAATTCCACAGGAGGTGCTCTTCTTTGCCTCCTTCCTTCCTCCCAGTAATTAGCTCCAGGGGGAAATTCAGGGACATGATGCAGGTTCTCAGCAGCTATGCACTGTGACTATGGAGAATTGCTTTGATTTCTTTGCTAAAATTTCTAAAGCCAGAGTGACAATAAAATGTATTCTTCTACTCCTCACTAGGTGCTCAAACTGCATCAAACCTCTGGTTGTC